CGATACCTATTGATGTTGTATGACTTATACAACACCTGTTGTTGGCTCTTTGAAGAAGATGAATAATGTAAACAAGAATCTTGTGATACAGGAGTCTGTAGAATCAATTGCCTCTTGGCAATGAAGAGCAACAACAGCCCCACATGAAAGTGCCAGTAGCTGAGGCCTCAGAAGGTCTTAAAGAATTAGTAAACCAGTTTTCTAATGACTATGAAGTCTATGTTAGTGAAGAAATTCAAATAAAGGGTGATCCCACCTCATTTGAAGAAGCCATGAGAAGCGTTCACTCATTTGAATGGCAAGAAGCTATGAAAGTTGAAATGAATTCGATGAATACCAACGATGGTTGGGACTTAGAAAAAATTACTAATGGAATCAAAACAGTAGACTGTGAAAGGGTCTACAAGATAAAATATAACTCCAAAGGGAATGTGGAAAGAAATAAAGCATGACTTGTAGCAAAAGGCTTTACGCAAAGAGAATGAATAGATTACGATGAGAGTTTACTCTCCAGTCTTATGCAAGGATTCTTTTAGAATCATAATGGTGTTAATGGCACATTACGATTTATAGTTACATCATATGGATGTAACGACGGCATTTCTCAACGGGGATTTGTATAAAAACGTTTACATGGCACAACCTAAAGGTTTTGTCATGGAAGAAAAAGAACATATGGGATGCCGCCTGTAGAAATCCATTTATGGGTTAAAAGTAAGTCTCTAGACAATAGTATTTGAAGTTGATGAAACGATAAGAAAGTTTGGGTTTTAAAGAGAATGAGAAGGACAATAACGTTTATGCGAAGTTCAAGAATGGAAAATTCATTTTCCACATCCTGTGAATAGATTACATTCTACTCACTAGTAGTGATGTTAATCTGTCATTAGAGAAGTAGTTTTGTCCTCAAGTTTCAATGTGAATGATCTTGGTGAAGCGTCATTGGTTCTAGGAATCGAAATTCACCGAGATAGAAGAAAATAGGGTATTAGGACTATTGCAAAGACATACTTAGAATAGATTCTAAAGAAATAAAGCATGCATGCGAGTAAACCTACGTCTGCTCCTATAAGTCAAGGGTAATAGATTTGGGAACTTTAAGTGTTTCAGGAACCGATATGAGATCGATCAAATGAACATGGTTCCATATGCTTTAGCTGTTGGAAGCTTGATGAGTGTACAAGTACAAGTAAGAACTTACTCTGACGTAGTTTACATATCCGGGATATAGATCACTGAAATGGAGTTAAGAATATCTTACAATTTTGTAAAGTATCAAAGGCCTCATGCTGAGTAAGAAAGAATAAGTATTCTCAAATAGTTGTGGGCACAAATGTTAAGTTTTGGCGAGTTGTGTAGTGAAATCCACAGTAGTCGCTAACACTCGCAGTTGGAGTATTATTGTGGAAAAGCTCCAATGAAACAGTTGTGGTGTCATCAATGATGTATACCATAGTATAGCTTGTCATGAGGCCTCAGGAACAGGCAAAAGAAGGTTAAGAGAATTAGTACCCGTATTTAATAATGGTAGTCAACAGCAATAACCATTTAAAGTAGTTAACTCCTAAGACAACAGGTCAAGTGTGCTGCCAAACACATTGACATCGAGTTATATGTTGTAAAGGAGAAAATCCAGAATCATTTTTAAAGCATTGAGCATATGAGTACCAAGCAAGTACTTACGGATCCGCTTATCAAAGGCTAACCACCCAGTGCGTCCAGAGAACACACAGTCGACATGGGTTTATGGAAAAGCTTATGATTTCTGGATACTAAAGGCCTAGTTGAGTATCTGTTTTAAAACAGAGAGGTGCATTGTAGCTGTTAATCTAATGGCAACTGACCGTGACGATGAGGCACGCTCTATGCACTGATCTGTGATGGAATGGGAACAAGATAAAGTAAGTAAGTTAAGTTTAAGTCATAAGGTGAGATCAAGGGGGAGAATGTTAGTTTGATCTCCACCAATTGGCCCAACGGCCAATCGGATCCCTTGACCGCGTCCTGATCGGGGACGCTTAACCGACCACTGGTCGGCGGGCCCCTGTCACGCAGCGCTATATAAAGAGAGAGGTGGGGGCCACGGCATGGGTGACGAGGTTTACCGCCGCCACTGACCCACCGAAGAACACTAGAAGCCCCTCCGATCGCGGGCGCGCTACAAGTGACGGAAAGCGCCGCCGGCCGCGCCCCCGTCCTCTGAACTCTACCGGGCTGCACTCCGTTCTTCCTCCTCTACCTCCTCTGACAACCCCGAAGGTATGAGCCTCTCTCTCTCTCTCCCTCTCACAATTCATGTTCAAGATCGTTTCGAATCAACTAGTACCGGTTTCTCCCTCTAATCTACACCCAGATGATCCTAAGATTCTAACACCCTACAGTAGCCGCTAGTGCCCTCTTACGCAATTAGATATCTTCTTTAACTCTTGAGGCCACTTGTTCTACCGTTTGGAAGCTATTTGTAAAAATCGTTTTGTTTCTTTCTATCTAGAGATTCCACATTACATAGACGGCCATGCCATTGAAGCGTCGCCGCTTGTCCTTTGGAACCTTTAGAGCTGCAGCCTCCGACACCAAGAACTGATCTATGAAGAGTCAACATTATGCTAGATTAGTTCCACATCGAAGTGCTCCCACATCAAAACTTCGTTCCACACGAGATCGGCAAAAAAGGCAAAGCAATCACAACTGCAGGCCGATCTGTAGTGGTATGAGCGTCCAAGAAAAAAAAGGCACTTATTTTCTGTATGTCCTTTTTTAAATTAGGCTCGGCTGATATCTCATGTAGGTTTCTTTGAATTGCATTCAGTATGTGAACTGGGTGGAGTACACACCATCGGCAGTCCATTTCCAGATTGTGGAATCATGCACCTTGGGCATCATTTTGGATTCTAATCCATAAGGAGATGAATTCTTCAACATGTGTGGTTGTTGTGATAATGTCTCGGAGGGAAAGAATCTACACATTGTTTAGCAGCTCCTGATGGACTCTTCTTCTTTTTCTCTGGTTTATTGAATTAACACAAAAGTTTCTTGATAAAAAAAATTGTAATATAATAGTCAAAAATATCTGTTCCTTCGTACAAAGTATTTATATAAGTACAAAGTTTGCAAATCCCTTACTCCCTCTGTCCCAACTTAGAATTCAGTTTAGTTTGCCCTGAATAAAACTTCTTTGTGTGAGCAAGTTTTTTTTTAAAATATTAATATTTATATATGTTTAAATGAATACTCAATCAAAATATATTTATGGGGAACTTAATAATCAAAGTACTTTGATGTTTTAGATGTTGATATATCTTACCATAAACTTAGTTAAAATTTAAGACAACTGATTTAGAACAAAGCTGGAGCAAACTATAATTTCTAAATAGAAATGGAATATAGTCTATGATTATATTGTATAAAGTTTCTACGTGCGTGCGTTGTGGGTATCGCATTGTACCGTGTAATTCTCAAAAAAAAGGAAGGCGACGGGCTCTAGAGAAAAAGAGAGGAAGACACTTCAGTTGGTGGTAAGGGCGCCTACAATAACAAAGTCAATTTACTCGCTATAGTGATATCCATGTAAGATATAGACAAGTAGATCAATTTTCCTGCAATTTATTACTATAATAACTCTCATTTCTTAAATTAGTGTAGGGTCCACAAGTAAATATTTTTTTAATACTCCAAGTCACCATCTCTCCAACAGTGAGACGCCCTGACAAATCATGAGACCCATTCAACATCAAATGATGTCTAGCAAGAGTCGCCAGACGGAGCGACCAAATACTCTCTCTCTTGCTCCCTCTCTCCTATACATACATGGACATGTTAAAGGGAGCACTAATCCCATTGCAAATTTCTTTATGCGGTTTCCAAAAGTGAGATATGGATGTTAAATAAAACAAAATCCGCAATGTACAGTGTTCATTTCACAGTTTCATACATCTAAATATTTTAAATGTTGCATTGTATTATGAAATGAAATGCTCTCAGTGAAGTTTCACTCAGTTTCCAACGTGTGTGAATGAAACAAAACGATCCCAGCGGAGTTTCATTCCGCTGTTAATACATTAACAACCCTGCTCATCTCTCTCTCCTTATAATTTCTATGTCATGTTATTATTATTTTTTTCTGATGTGTCACCTCATCGAATGAGAATGAATTTACATGCGGTGCCCCAACAGTGGCGACAATGATACGCTCATGCGTCAACTACGTGGTCTTCGCACATCGTTAGTGGGTGTGGGACGTAGTCTGGTCGTGCTCCATTACTAACAACCCAAGGACTAGAATAAGGCCTCATTCGCTTCATGGGGAATGAGCCCCCAGAAGAATTCCGGCCCAGAACCATTCATTAATTTATATAAGATTTTCACGTCCGGAATACTTCCTCCCGTAATATCGGCTAACCGAACGGAGCCTAATGATGGTTGCACCGCAATACTAAAGGAAAGGGAGAAAATCCTCGCAAGAAAGAACAAAAAGAGTAGGTCGATATGTTGTTCCTAAGGACTCTTGGTCCATCAAAGGCGCGTACATACACACACTAAAAAGAAATCAAGTCTTTCATTCGTCGCTAATGGTGCGCGTAATCAGTGTTGCGTGCAATTATATTATTGAGATTATTTAGGCCAGCGTCATGATCACGGTGATTAGCAGCCGTGTAAAGGTGTATGGTGTGGTCCGGTGGTGCCTTACCATCAAGCACAGGAGAGCTGAGGAACGCACTTAACTGGGCAATAGAGACGTTACAGGGTTATAGAGCAAAGTGCTGAGGAGTATTATTTGAAGTTGCTTGGGGGCAGCCGGCAAGGCTCATTCAGTGTCACTGATGCATCATTAGAGACGTCGTAGTATAAATAGCACCCCCGAGCAGTGTCTACTTAGCAAACAACTACTACTGCTGTCTCTTGGTCGATCATAGCATATAGATACCAAAAACAATCCAACATGGGTGGCATGGCGGCGCTGCGCTCGCCGAGCTTCCTGCTACTGCTGCCATCCATCCTCCATGGTCACCATCTCCGCACTTAGTGCCATAGAAGGTGACGAGGAGGCCACGTTGCTGGCTTTCAAAGCAGCGGCAATCAGCAACGGGTACAACGACCCACTTGCTTCGTGGAACCGCAGCACCAACGGTGGGTACTGCAGTTGGGAGGGCGTAAGGTGTCGGGGCACACACCGCCGAGTGGTGGCGTTGAGCCTCCCATCCTATTGGCTCACTGGCATCCTCTCTCCTGCCATTGGAAACCTATCATCCTTGAGGATTCTGAACCTGAGCTCCAATGGGTTCAGCAGGAACATCCCGCGAGCCTTGGACGTCTGCGCCATCTCCATATCCTCGACTTGAGTCACAATGCCTTTTCTGGCTTACTTCCCGCCAACTTGACCTCTTGCACCAGTCTAATAATCATGGTCATTAGATACAACAATCTCAGCGGGAACTTGCCCCTTGAGATTGGTCATAACCTGAAGCATCTCAAGGTGCTCAACCTGCACGACAACAACCTTACGGGACAGATCCCGGCGTCGCTGGCTAACTTGTCATCGTTGAGTTATTTTAGTCTCGCATCCAACCAGCTCGAAGGTACCATCCCGACTAGCATTGGCATCCTCAAGGACCTCAGTGTTCTTGGGCTCGGCTTCAACAACCTCTCTGGCGAGCCCCCAATATCCCTTTACAATTTGTCTTCCTTGGAAATGTTGCAGATTGAGTGGAACATGCTCAGTGGTAGCCTTCCTACCGATATCGGCAGCAGGTTCCCCAGCATGCGAATGCTCCTTATATATAAAAACAAGTTCACGGGGATCATCCCTGCTTCACTCTCCAACCTCACATCGCTCCAAGTACTCGACCTATGGCAGAATATGCTTAAAGGACATGTGCCTAGCACGATTGGGAGAATACGAGCTCTGCAAAATCTATACTTATCCGACAACATGCTAGAAGCTGACGATGGGAAGGGGTGGGAATTTATTGCTTCTTTGTCAAACTACAGCCAGCTCAAAGTATTAGATCTCTCTAACATCACCGCTTTCACTGGACACCTACCAAGCTCAATAGTGAATCTCTCAACAACCCTGCAGTTCCTCGACTTTAGTGCTACTGGGATTTGGGGAAGCATCCCCTCGGCCATCGACAATCTGGTGGGCCTTGAATTCCTTGATGCTCATGATGCCTCCATATCCGGAGTAATTCCAGATAGCATCGGCAAGCTAGGAAACTTGACTGAAATTTATCTGTACAATAGTAACTTGTCTGGCCAAATACCTTCATCTATCGGAAATCTCTCAAAGTTAGCTATCCCTAGTGCATATCAGTGCACTCTAGAGGGGCCAATTCCGCCAACCATAGGGAAGCTGAAGAGTTTATTTGCCCTTTTTTTGTCAAGTAACCACCTGAACGGTTCGATTACAAGAGAGATTTTTGAACTATCTTTCAGTTACTTAGACTTGTCATACAATTCACTATCAGGACCTCTTCACTCCCAGGTCGATAGCTTACAAAACCTTAACCAACTATTTCTATCGAGGAACCAGTTGTCTGGCGAGATACCTGAAAGTATTGGGAAGTGTACAGTGCTGCAAGAACTTTGGTTGGACGATAACTTATTTAACGGAAGCATACCCCAATATCTAAACAAGGCTCTAACTACACTCAACCTTTCAGTGAATGAGTTGTCCGGTAGTATTCCAGATGCCATTGGAAGTATCAGCGGACTGGAACAATTGTATCTGGCGCACAACAATTTGTCAGGACCAATCCCTGCAGTTCTACAGAATTTAACAGCATTGTGGATGTTGGATTTGTCCTTCAACAATCTGCAAGGGGAAGTGCCAAAAGAAGGGATTTTCAGAAATTTTGCTAACCTGACGATCACCGGAAACAACAAGCTTTGTGGAGGAATACCCCAGTTTCATTTAGTTCCATGCAACCCAGATTCTGTGAAAAAAGAACAGAGGGAAGTCGAAGTATCTTAAAATAGCACTAGCAACAACCTTTGCACTCTTACTATTAGCTATTGTCATTGCACTCTTGATCTACAGGAAGCAAAGAAGAAAGCAGAAGGGTGCATTCGAACCACCAATGGTTGAGGAACAGTTCGAAAGAGTTTCTTATCATGCTTTATCAAACGGAACCAATGGATTCTCCGAAGCCAATTTGCTTGGTAAAGGGAGCTTTGGGACAGTCTATAAATGTGCTTTTCAATCTGAGGAAACTGTTGTAGCTGTGAAGGTTTTTGACCTTCAACAATCAGGCTATACTAAAAGTTTTGTAGCCGAATGTGAGGCACTCAGAAGGGTGCGTCACCGCTGCCTCATGAAGATCATCACATGCTGCTCAAGCATCAATGAACAAGGTCAGGATTTCAAGGCATTGGTTTTTGAGTTCATGCCGAATGGTAGCTTGAATCGTTGGCTGCATACAGAATCTGGCATGCCCACTTTGAACAATACTCTTAGCCTTGCACAAAGGCTCGATATCGTTGTTGATATCATGGATGCATTGGACTACCTTCATAATCACTGCCAGCTACCAATCATCCACTGTGATCTCAAACCAAGCAACATCCTTCTTGCAGAAGACATGAGCGCCCGAGTTGGAGATTTTGGCATAAATAGAATCATTTCAGAAAGTGAATGTATAATTCTGCAAAATTCCAAAAGCACAATTGGCATAAGAGGCTCCATTGGCTATGTCGCTCCTGGTAAATTCTATGTTTTTTTTCTTGATTCCAAATCCTTCTATAAATATGACATGCTAATCAATACTTTCTTTTTCTTTTGCACAATAATAGAGTATGGTGAAGGTTCTCCCATCACAACTTTTGGTGATGTTTATAGCCTTGGCATATTGCTGCTCGAGATTTTCACAGGGAGGAGCCCAACAGATGATATGTTTAGAGGTTCAATGAATCTACATAAGTTTTCAGAGGATGCTCTTCCAGGTAACATATGGGAGATAGCCGATAAGACAATGTGGTTGCACACTGGCACCTATGACAATAATACAAGAAACATAATTGAGAAATGTTTTGTTCAAGTCATTGCTCTTGGGGTATCCTGCTCAAGAAAACAACATAGAGAGAGGACACTGATACAAGATGCAGTCAATGAGATGCATGCTATCAGAGATTCATACCTTAAGTTTGCCAGAACTCTTGTGGTGGAAGATGGAGTAGGAACGTTTTTTCTGTAATTTTTAAACAACAGTGAATAAAGTAGAGCTGAAGGTGGGCAAGATGTTTGCATGTGATAATTGAATAAAATAATTGAAGGTATCTATGATGCTTGAATTCTATTATTCTATCATTAAAAATCTGTATTTCTTTATATCAGATTTAATTCAAATGGATTGTTATGTGAAATACAATAATTGGTGCATAAATCAAATAATAGAAACTTTTTCACCTGTAGTTTGCTCAATGGTATAGTTGAACTCTAAAATTAGTTATCTCTAGACATTTTATAGTGTATGGGGGTGTTCTGGTGCTATTGTTTGATATGTCCATTGCCTGCACACAAACAAAGGAGTAGCCCTCTCTCATGAGGCGAAAAAGAAGGTTATTGGAGATTATTTCAGGGAACACATTGGCTCCACGCCCCCAGGTCTGCAACTATCAACTGGCACTCCCTTGGGTATAATCAGCATGACCTTTCCGACTTGGACGTTCCGTTCACCCAAGAAGAGATCAAAGACACAATATATGCCATGCCACCTGATAAAGCTCCGGGTCTAGATGGCTTCACCGGGGCGTTCTTCAAAGCTTGTTGGGAGATCATCAAGGATGATATGACTGACGCAATAAACAGCTTATTTGCAATGAACTCCCAAGGCTTTGAGTTCCTCAATTCAGCCAACATCGTCCTCCTCCCAAAAAAAACGGATGCGCTCAAGATTACGGACTTCAGGCCCATCAGCTTCATCCACAGCATTGCAAAAATCTTCTCCAAGCTCCTTGCAAACAGGCTTGCACCCCGGCTGGATTCCTTGGTCTCCAACTGCCAAAGTGCCTCGACAATTTCTTGTATGTCCAGAATACAACAAGAAATTTGCACAAGCTGAAAATGCCGGCCCTCTTTATGAAACTAGATATCCACAAAGCATTTGACACTGTCAGCTGGAGTACTTGCTCGATGTGCTGCAGGCACTAGGCTTTGGGCCACGTTGGCGTGAATGGGTCTCCATCCTCTTTCGCACGGCCACCTCAAGGGCCATTCTCAACGAGTGGCATGGACCATGTTTTAGCCATGGCAGAGGGGTCCGGCAAGGCGACCCACTCTCGCCTATGCTCTTCATTCTAGCTATGGATCCGCTACAACGACTGCTCGAGTTAGCGACACAACAAGGAGTCCTTACCCCGCTGCCCTTATCCACAGCTAGGTGGCGAACCTCCATGTACGCCGATGACGTAGCCATCTTCATCAACCCTCTATTAGAAGATGTAGAGGCGGTCAAGACAATACTTGAAGCTTTTGGGAATTTCTCACGCCTGCACATCAACCTTCAAAAAAGCTCCATTCACCTGATCAGGTGTGAAAACATAAACCTCAACCACGTCCTATCCTCGTTCACCGGGATCAGAGGGACTTTCCCCTGCCGTTACTTGGGACTGCAGCTCCACATTAGAGCACTGCAAAAAATTAATGTCCAACCCCTCATCGAGCGCATCGGACAGAGGCTACCTGCATGGAAGGGGAGGTGCCTAAACAAAGCCGGCCGCCTCACCCTTGTCTCCTCCGTCCTTTCCTCCATGTCAACCTACCACCTAACAGTGTTCCCTCTGGCAAATTGGGTAAAAAAGAAAGTAGACAAAATCAGACAATCGTTCTTCTGGAAAGGTGATGAAAACGCAAATGGAGGCCACTATCTAGTTAACTGGCCCACAGCCACTAGACCAAAAGACATTGGAGGCCTGGGGTTGCCGGACCTGGAGAAATTTGGAAGAGATCTTCGCCTCAGATGGCTTTGGCAGGAATGGGTGCACGAGTCCAAACCATGGGTGGGGTCCAACCTTCCTTGCAATAAGGCCAACAGGCTACTCTTCAATGCATCAACCATAGTTAGTGTTGGAGATGGCCAAAAAGCCTGTTTTTGGTACAACAGTTGGTTGGAAGGGGAAGCGCCCAGAAATTTAGCACCCCATCTCTTCCAACTAGTAAGGAGGAACAACAGGACGGTCCAACAAGAGCTACACAATGGGGCATGGATACGCTCTCTCAGGGATAAGATCACCACTGCTACTCACATTGAGAAGTTCGTCTCCCTTTGGATCAGAATTCAATATGTACAGCTAACTCCGGGCGTTCGAGACACCATAGCTTGGAAATGGATGGCCAATGGCTGCTACTCCACCCGATCAGCATACCGGATCCAGTTCAGCACCTCCTATACAAGATTCCAGTACAGCCAAATCTAGAAAGCGCAGGCAGAAAACAAATGCAAATTTTTTAATTGGATTCTGGTCCAAGAAAAAATACTAACGGCGGACAATTTGCAAAAAAGAGGATGGCCACACCAGGAACACTGCGTTCTATGCGACGAACCTTTGGAAACTGGTTTACACTTGGCCCTCTTATGCCCTTTTGCCAAGGCGGTGTGGAACCAGGTACTGGCATGGGAAGATTTCGACACACAACTCGCCAATACACAACCAGAACCAATGCACATAGATGGTTGGTGGGACAAAGCCGCGCACAAGGTGCCCAAACCGATGAAAAGGCAGTTCAACAGAGTGGTGATCCACACAATATGGAACATTTGGAAGGAAAGGAATATGCAAATATTCAACGACACTTCAGAGTTACCGATGCAGGTGGCCGCCAGAGTTAGGGAGGATATTGTGCAAAGAAAGAGAGCCAGCTTAGAGAAGGGTTAAAGCCCATTTGTTGAATATGGGGTCTTAACTGTGTTTTGTTTGCCCTGGAGGGCTATTTCCCTTGTACATAAAACTCTCTTTTCTCTCTTAATTGAAGGGCAGAGCTCCTGCCATTACGTTCAAAAATAAAAATTGTTTGATATGTTTACATGAAGCCCAATGAGTCCACTTGGTGAAAGAACCTTCAACATTGCTATCTCAACAATATTTTGGCTACATGCCTACATGTGGAATCAAAGGATATCATTGTCAAGAGTAGAACCAAGGATTTTATTTCTTTCTACGAATTTCTGTTTTCAGGCTTGCCATATCCTATTCAAAGAGATGTAGCAGTAGACAGTAGAGATGCACGACATCAAAGATTCATACGTCGTATTTCATGTTACCGTGAGAAAACACCAATTGCAGACATTTGCTAGAGCAATGATCACAGCTGAGGGTAGATTAGAATTTAGGATATGTTGTCAACTAAAACAACTAAAGTTGTATATGCAATCAGGATTGAAGGTTTATCATAACAGTGTAAAAGGCAAAGTAAAATGCCATGTAAATTTACCTTCTTAAGATATGAAATGCTTGAACTTCTACAGAAGTGGGCATATCATCCATATATGTTTTACTCCACATCCTCACATTATTTTGAGGAAAATGGCTGGTGCACTGCCTGTTCATTAAAGCGCACCCTCGTATCAATCATGGATCAAAATATGAAAAATGCTTTGCTTGAAAAATTAGACATGCATTCAAACGAATACAGGTTCAGAATAATCATCCAGAACAAAAGAACGATGAAGTTTCCACTGAAATTTAATCAATAAAGAAGCAGGCTACAGCTCAAACTGACTATGTTTATATGGCAATCAGGGTGCATGTAGATGAGAGCATCACAAAATCTAGAAATTCAAAAAACATCATATTGTCTCTTCATTATTGGTAGACATGCTCTAGCGGCACCCCATGCACATTGTCAGGGAAACCTCCATGCAGCAGACGTTCAGATCAGCAACGAACAAACATGGCAGTAGGACAATGTCGGAAATTATAAAATGCCAAGCAAGTTATACCATAGATATATTTGTATTTTCACAAGAGCAGTACAGCCAGTGGCTAAAATACTCAATGGCACTGTAAAACAGCTTCATACACATTCTGAAGATTCAGAGCGCAAATGGTGCCTAGACTTACTTCTTGCGATGCCAAAGCAGGGCAACTGCAAGAAAAAAGTAATTGTTCTCTCCGGGAAGATCAGCATAAGAATCAACAGATAACTAAAAGAACCCATTGAAATTTGCAGAATCAACTAATGCAAAGAGACATGGACCAGGTTGGCAGGGTAACTATAATTAGTGCAGAATCAACAAATGCGAAGAGGCATGGACCAGCATCACATTTCTAAAGTAGTGTATAACTGCAAGAAAATTCAGGGTTCCAACCAGACAATGCAATTAGCAAATAGCAATCACGCAATCACAACATTCTGTTCCAGATATTGATCATATGTATCATCGCGTAGTAAAAATAAATTAACAACAAAGCTCAGGAAATGAATTGTCTGAAACCCCACAGGAATAGATACACCATACCTACCTTACTAAATTACACATAGCTGTCAAGGTTGCAAAGCCAGATTTATTTTTATAAGTACTCAAGATCTCAATTCTCACCTCGCCAAGAGTCAAACCTAGTACTATCAACTGAAATCTGGCACCACCACAAGAAGTGCATTTCCAGTCCCTCAAATAAATAATCGAGCCAAATATTGAAAATATGAGGCATCCTACAGCTAGAAAAGAATCAACAGTAGAGCTACCACTAGAAATTCACCGATAACCAAGCAAGCAACGTGCAGGCCCAATTGAAAGTCTGGGTACTCGCGAAATCCAGGCATAGCATTTAGGAGTACAAGACCCACAGATTTTCATTATCATAAGGCTTGCTAACCATGCTCTAGGTGAGTAGGTGACACACCGCAAAAATTATAGGAGTGTTGGATTTTGGCATGAAGAAGGACGCAACTAAATTATCAGTTAGCTGACAGGACTCAGGAGAGTATCAAAGAAAAGAAGATAACTCTCCTTAGAGATTTACAACAATGATAATTCATATTCAGAGCCAAATACTGGCCCATATGCATGCCCCATGCTTTGTGGTAAACTATCTGTAGGGCATATTTTCTGTAGAATAATAGAAGATGGGACAGAAAGAGAAACATAAACATCCATGCAGCATACATTTCGGATCAGCTACCAACAATATGACAGTGGGATAATGTTGGAAATCATAAAATGCCAAGCAAGTTATGCCACAGATGTCAAAGTTTGTCTTTCCACAAGAGCTGTACAGCAGTGGCTACAATGCTACATGGCACTGGTATAACAGCTTCATACACATTATCAAGATTCAGAATACGTCTAGCATTCCCAAAGTAGTGCATAACTGCAAGAAATAAGTAAATTTCATCTCCAGGCAGATCAGCACAAGAATCAACAGGTAAATAAAGAACCCAATGCAATTTGTAGAATCACCCTATGCAAAAAGACATGGACGAAGATAGCAGAGGAACTACAATTAGTGCAGAGTTTTCACTTATCTAAAAACTCAGAATTCGCACCAACCAATGCAATTAACAAATAGTAATCACACAATCACAACATTATGTTCCAGAAACTGATCAGATGTATCATCGCTTAAGGTCCGTTTGGATGTAGATATTGGACGGCTGGCATTGAATTGGGTTCCAATACCAAATCAAACTAGTATTGGAAATGGTTTGCAATACCAAATCAGATGTTTGCATGTACATGAAATTGCTATTTAGAATCTCCAAAAGCTACTGGACCATTCATTCACGGTTTCCCTTTTCAACCCCGCACGAAGTAGCTCGTTATGCATCGCCGCCGCCGCTGCAGGTCTGTTCATCATAGCTGCAGCCTGTGCTAGCCCTCTCGTTCCCCTTCCCTCCCCCATCCACGCACATCGATGTACAACAGTGAGCCCGCTCCTTCCCCTTCCCTACCAAAGCAATTCCCCTGCGCTTGTGCGTGCATGGCCAGAGGTGGCAGGATGCGTCGCCACAGCTGCTAGAAGCGTGGAGGCGCCAACATGGCCGGTACCCGGACGGGTGCTGCTGGATTTGAGGCTTTCTTGCTGGACTAGCACCACGACCCGCACCTGCTGCCGGTGCCGGTGCCGCCGCTGCACTGCACTCCCCGCTGCTGCCGGACTTGAGGAAGAAGGGGATCCCGGCACCTGAGGACTTGAGGAAGAAGGGGATCCTGGCACTCAGCGGTGACCGGACTTGAGGAAGAAGAGGATCCCGCATCTCCTCCGCCCTCCCTTGCGCGACCTCTGGTGGCGGCGGCGGTTGTCGGGACTCTCCAGCGGCGGGGGCAGTCACGGGGTTCCTTGGTGCTTCCGCCTTCTGATACTTCTTCGTTGCTTTGGTTTCCCTCCAATACGGAGGGGTTTGCCTCGGTATCGAAGGGGAGCAGTTTTAGTTGTAGTCGAATGCCTTGGTATTGAAGGTTCAATGCCATCTCGCAATGTCAAAGACATCTCAAACAGCAGAATTGAAAAAACTCAATTCCAATTTCAAATTCTACATCTCAATATCTACATCCAAACGGGGTGTTAGTAATAATCAGTTGACAAAAAAAAAACAAAAAAAACAAATGCCCAGTCCAAACTACCGACCCTAGCAATTGCTGTAATAGTACGAGCCCAAGGGGAGGTGGATTAGTCGGCAGCCTTGGTACCCTCGGAGGCGACGAGCTTCCCTGATTAGGACGAGACGAGCGGAGGCCGCGCCAGTCTGGATCTCGCTCTCGCGGGAGGTGATGGAGGCGAGGTGGGCGGCATCCTGCGCAATCATCTCGATGACGTCGGTGGTGGTCTTGTGGAGCTCGAGAAGCGGCGGCAAGCGGCAGGCGGCAGGCAACAGGCGGTGGCGGGGAAGGTGGCAGCGGCAGGGATCTGAGGGCGCCTGGCAAGTGGCAACTGCCAGCCGTTAGGAAGAAGACGCCGGATGACGGGTGTGGGCCTCATGGATGAAAGGCCCAGGTCCATTAGGAAGACCGGCCCATTTGGCATTCACAACTGTCGGTCTTTTTTGACATCTCCTATTTTGCCAATGTTCAATTCGGAAAAAAAATGTTCTTTTTTGGCTCCTCAATATTTTACATACACAAGTAACGATCGTGATCATGTATCGTCAAGCCTGAACTTTGTGACTCTGTGTTGTAAGTGTCGGCAAACCTTGTTCGGGACCAGCAGCAGAGATTGTGGCGAGAGCTATCAAAATCTATGTTGGGGAGATGGGTGAACCTGCCCAAACGCAGCAAAGAGCTCAGGTGCGAAGTGTGGAGCGTTGGACAAGACCACCGGAGGGACAACTAAAGCTTGCGATGCTTCATTTATCCCAGGAGGGAACTGCGGTGGATGGGGTTTTTTTATCAGGGACACCGATGGAGATGTTGCGCTAAGTGGATGGGGGCGTGTAAATAACTTGCTGAATGCACTCCAGGCTGAAACGATCTTGTAGGGTGTCCAAGCTGCGAGTAACTTTTTTTTATTTTTTGAGATTAGCTGCGAGTAACTTGAGGATTGGCCGATTGATCTTGGAGACGGATGCGCTGAAAGTTAAACAAGCACTGTCAACTGAAGAAATTGACTTGTCAGCGGCCGGTGGCCTTGTCGAAGAACTGAAGTTCATAGTGTCTACAAGCTTTGTTAGCTTTGAGTGCGTTCATGTTCCGAGAACTTGTAACAAGGCAGCTCATGTCCTTGCTGCTGCAGGTGTGGGTAGCGTTGAAGGGGAGGAGCACTTGTCGTGCAACATCCCAGATTGCGTCAGTGTAATTGTCGTTGACGATTTGTCGTGCAACATCCCAAAGTGCAATGAGATTTACCCAAGTTCAAAAAAAAAAGTGTCGGCATTACCTACCACCGCACGCAGCTTAATTATTATATCCTACCTGCATTATGCAGACTTTCTTCAGCGTTTTGCAACTCGGACGGTTGCATTGTTGCCTTATACTTCCTCCGTTTCGAATTATAAGTCGCTTTAACTTTTTTAGTTCATTTATTTTGCTATGCATCTAGATATATTATTCTAGATGCATAGCAAAATAGATGTACCAAAAAAAAACCAAAGCGGCTTATAATTTAGAATGGAGGGAGTATGTATTAATCCTTTCCAAATTCAAATTCAAACGGTGAACGCTGAGCCTCGCGCAAGTTCGCGGCACGTCCAGTGTCCTCGCGCCTTGTTTGTGTCAAAGCACGTCCAAATCTGAACGGTTGGTCTGGCGCGTAGAGAGTTGGCCAGGGTCGTGTCACGTCCAATTTCTAGTTGACTAGCCGCACAGACAATAATGTTGCGTGTCTGTGTGTTTCTGACCTGCCTTTCAAAAAGTCTGCAAGTTTGGTCGGACTACCTTGGCCCGGCATAGCTTATACCTGCATCTGCATGCAATTGATGCCCACTCCGTTTCGTCAAACAAAATTGATGCCCACTCCGGTTCTACATTCCTCTGATCGTTGACTTGTGAATTTGGATTAATTATGTTTGTCAAAAGCAGAGCTCTCATGGAGTCATGGCTGTCAGAGTCTAGCAGGCCGGTATACCTGTATCCTAACTAACTTTTATACTACTAGAAGTACTACTTTAGAGGAATCGATCGAGTTTGGATCTGTCTTTTGGATAGTAGTGGTTTGTAGCTGCACATTAAGAGCTGCCAAAGCCAAAGGTCAGCTCCTACAATAATCCACAAGACCAGAGGTAGCTGGACACGGTAAGTCGAGTGGAGTTTACATAGGGGAGCGATGCTCTAGTACGTACTCCTATTTTGTTGTACAAGTAGTTACTATACTTTTCCATCCAAAATGATGGTATGGTCACATTTGGTTTGGTGACCACTACAGTAGCGCTTTCAGCTGTATATCACCGAGACACCGAACGAGGGAACAGAGCAAGGAAGCATCAAAAGGATCGGGTGTCGTGCGTCCGCCGTACACTCTGCCTCCGGTGCATGCAAAACAGCTTAAGTTATGGCTTTATCTGTGGAGTAGATTCAGTTGGGGAGCTGAATCAATTTTTTTCTGACCGTTTAGCAAAAATAGCTTCTCTTGATAGTCTAACAGGGTGAAATGTCAATAATATCCTTATTTTTTCTTTTTTTTCTTTTCCTTTTCACTCCCCAACGGCCCAACCTTATCTCGTTACCCATACCCACTGCAGACCGCACGATGTCTCCATCTTCTCGAGCCGTTCGTCCAACGCCGCGGCGCCTCCGCTCCTCCCCAAGGCCGCGCCGCCTCCGCTCGTCCCCAATGCCGGCCGCCTCCACCGCCACCACATTAGGCGCACGTTCGCGGCGCTCGTCCGCTCGGCGCCCTCGCAGATGCGCCGCCGCGCCGACGTTTTCCGCTTAACGCCCTGCCTACGGCGGGGGCAAAGGAGACCCATGGGCACGATGGGGGCCGCTACGCCAAACGAAGCCGGAAGAAGCCACAAATTTCAGCTCATACTCTTTCATCTCTTGTCTCAGCGGAAATTCCGGGACTTCTTCCTAGGATCTGGTCAGCTTTGGAATCGCTGGATCACGTCAGGCAGGCAGGCACAACACAAGCGTCGCGGCGGGCGCGGGCAGACAGACAGACAGACAGGACAAAGGAATAATCAGCGGTGGAGGAGCCGAGCGAGGCCTGTGCTGTGCGTGCCTCTGCCTCTGCCTCTGTGCGCGTGCGCTGTCCCCTGCCCGTGCCAACGGAGAGGAGGAAATTCTCTCATTTCTTCTGCATGCGGACAGGATGAGCTCCAGTAGCGGGTCCAGCCAGGTCCGAAGTCCGATCCGTCCATCCCTGCATCCGCCGTTCCGATCCGGCGCAGGCCTCCAGATCTGGCTAGGCTTGGGCTTGGCTACACCTACACCACTACAGGAAAACGCCTCTTTGCCGACTGCTTGCCCCGGTCGGCAAAGGCATAAACCCAGTCGGCAAAGGCTTTGCCGACCGCAAAAGCAGCACGCGTGGCGGTCGGCAAAAGCGGTCGGCAAAGCCTGGGCGGCAAAGGCGGATTTGCCGAGCGCCACGCGTACACAATCAACAAAGCCTTTGCCAAGCCCTTACGCCACGCCATGATCAGCATAAGATAGCCGCGCGTCGACAAATGACGGCGAGGCTTTGCCGATTCTTGGTTCCTCGGTGGTCGACAAAAAATTTTTTTTTCAAAATTGTTTGCCGACCGCCGCCAAACTTCTAAGGCGGTTAAGAAAGAAAGAAAATATTTTTTTTGAAATGTTCTTTGCCGATCGCTTTTGAGATTGCGATCGGCAAAGGTTTGACCTCTTGCCGATCGCCTCCCATTGCGCTGATCGGCAAAGACTACGTCTGGAGTTTTTGCCACTTTTGCCGATCATAACAATCGGCAAAAGCTGGATTTTTTTTTTTGCTTTTTTTTTGTTTTCTCGCATCAAAACCGCAAAATCACAAATTATAATCCAATTTCACCGGAAGCCTTAGAAGGTAGCACCATTTATATCACAATTTCATCACATTTGTCGCCAACATCACCACATATATCACAATAACGCACAACATCACATGTATCTCACATATATGTCACAATAACAACCACACAAGTGCATTACAACCATCACATGAAGTCCAACACGTCGAACACCACAAGTCGACGTCCATCACACGAAGTTCAACATAACAAGTCTAGGTCCATAACGAAGAAAAGAAATACATGACAACAACTTCGACGATACGGTGGATACATGATAACAGAATCGACAAATACCTAGCTCGTCGCGCCGTCCCCGGTCTCGTCGTCCGCTCCGCCCCCAGAGCCCCCAGGGTTTGCCCACGGAAACCCCCTTGTACCAAACCGAGGCGCCTGCGCGTACTGCCACCCTCCGCGCACCGGCGGCCACGAGTACGTCGGAGGAGGGCCACGCGGAGGTGGATACGGTGGATAGGGTGCAGGTGGTGGATACGACATCATCTGATGGCCGGGACCTCCGGAGACGGGTTCGAACCATGGATTGTACTCGCACAAGTTAAACGCCAAGTGATGTCATTAGTATCTGCGGCATGGACGCACAAGTTAAAGCAAGAGTCAATATACTCACCGGGGTCCCTCCGGAGCGGCAGAGGAGCGAGTGGGGAAAAAACTCGGAGGAGGAGGCGGTGGAGCGAACATTGGAAGAGGAGGCGGTGTAGACGCCCGAGGCGTCTGCATGGACCGGAAGAAGCTGGCCATGTTACGCATCTCGAGTGTTGTAGTCTTGCTGCGAGCTTTGCTTTGGTAAGCCATCATTGCGCCATCATCTGCGCGTGCAACATGACGATCCTCTCCTCCATCTTGGCCTCCATCCGGGGCTGCAATATTACATCCGCAGTGTTGATTGTATGTACTGGTGCGTAAAGCAGTGAACGATTTAACAAGCGGCACTTACCGTGACGCCGACCGCCGCCGGGCGCTTCTGGGGATGTCATTTGGAGCTCGTGGGCGTGGATCGAACTGGGTCGG